GCTGCCCAAGAAGATAATTCCGCATGCACATATTTTGGTGGAAGGGACAAAGGCGAGTTTGGCTGCACCGCATTCTTATCATTCATGTGATTCATAGTACAAGCGTGCTGATCCTGTCATTAAAAACAAAGACACCGATGTGCACAAAATGACTAAGTTTTCGTTTGTTTAATTTGTATAATGAACGAGCCTTACTTCTGTAATCCCATGCTTTCGGAAAGTTGGCAGCTAGCGGGCAATGTAAATGGAGGCGCTAAAGCAGTTTCCTTGATTTTATTCGTTTTTTTTTTTGCCAATAGGGGTGGAGGGTAGCTAAGAGGAACACTACCCACAATTTGCTCTCTTAAGCGCTTTCGTCTATTTAGTTCTAAAAGAATTGAACTGTTTTCGTACTCAATCACGCGTATGACGGCAGTCACTATGCTTCCGATTGTAGATGTCCAAAAGCCTGGGTAACGTGGTGAGTCCAGTGGATGTGTTGGAATATTTTGCCGCAGCTTTTACCTCTGCCTCTTCCACTCCTCTCAGTGAGGCTGAGGTTCATGGAATGGCTGCCGATTGCCTTCGCTATTGCCTTGTGCGCAGTGCTTGCCTAACTAATGACACTACCTTCAGCCTCCACATGGCTATCGAAACTGTCAACACAGAACTTGTCAACTGGATGGGAAATCTCCTTTCTAGGTTGGTTCCATGCACCATCTGTGCTAGTCTACATCTGGGAGGCTGTTTTAAGATGCTAAATTTGCTTTTCGATTGTTAGTTCTTGCAGCCCCATCTCTCTGTCGAGATTATTTCTGTGGAACTACCTCTGAAAAACGGTTGTTTCTACTTTTTCTTCTGACAGAATAACTTCTAAAAAGCTCGTTCCAATCCAGACTGTGCCGATGTTAGATCTGGCGGAAGCTCAAACATTCATGTCTGATGACGTTGACGCCAAGTTGTTCAATGAGTAAGTCGCATTGCTTTAATCAACCCCTAAGTTTTGCTTCAAGCGACAGTTTATGTGTGCTTAGGTTGTGGCATCTTCGAATAATCATTATTAAACGTCGTGGCTGCACTCTCACGTATCTCCAATTCCCCTACTCCAATATGCTTAGTGGGGACCCATTGTCAACTTTTTACGAGATCTCTGTTCATATCGTCCACGGTTGTTTTGGGATCCACTTTTATTTTAGCCTCAGGCGTCTCCCCGGTACCTTTGACACACTGTGGTGGGAGCAGCTACAACCACATCACTCAGTGGACGCGTTGATGAAGGTAGTACGGCAAACCAACGCCTTTGTCGATCGCCATCAGCCCTGGGCTAGTGTTGCTGCCGGTGATGAAACAGTAAAAGCAGTTGTTGGGATCACTCTAGAGGCTCTTCGATTGATTGGTTGCCTACTTATCCCTTTGGCTCCTTCCCTATCAGACAGGTTGCTGCTTCGCCTCGGTATCAAGTCGGATACTTTGAGGTGCTCCTCTTGGCATTTGAACTCCGATGACGAATGCTTCCACCGACCTCTTGTGCCTCGAATTAAAACGTGATTTTGATAGTTCATAATAGTGGAAGGAATTTGTTCACTCTTCATTTGAGTGGTCTTTGAGTTCGGTAATCTCGATGACTGTTGGAGGTAGTAGTT